CGTACCTGTTTAACGTTGTCTTTCGTATGATCAATCCTGTTGTGCACTTCCCGTGGAAGTCCCGATGACTAAAATGACTTTAATTCATATATTTTGAAATAAAGTTCTTATTTGCATCAAAACCTTTGGTATAGCAGCGAGAAGGCACGATATTGAAATAATCCAGAGTAGCATGAGTGCAGCTGGGACAGTGATGTGTGCAGGTATAACTGACTGTACGAGGTCTATCAATAGGCAATGTAAACAGTTTCGTGTTATCAGTCATGTGGGAGGGTGAAATCATTGGTGCTCTGATTAACAGCCCTTTTTGTACGTTGAGGATCCTCAGCCAGACGGTCTGTTTGCCTTCAAAAGCATAAGGCACAATAAATTGGAACTTGGTTGAAAAACGGTAGCGGGGGTGCCGTATAGTGGAAAAATAGCGAAAAAGCGAAGTGAAGCGGTCAAAAACCTGCAAAAAAACCTTTGTTCTACACGACTCAGAAAGCAATTTTGGACGAGTTTCCCGTTGGCATCGTGCCAATAACAGCTACGGTAGATACGGCTGCATGTATGTGCTCGTAAATACAGTTGATATGAGCGTTGCTAAATGGATATATACATGCGTGCAGCCGCACTTATCAACGGATCGTTAGTACGATGCCAACGGGAAACTCGTTCGAAAATTCACGTCCAGTGCTGCGCAGAACAAATGTTTTTTCGCAGGTTTTTGCGCCGTTAATCTCGTCGTTTTCCCCACTATGTAGCACCCCTCTTACCAGTTTTGAGCAAGTACAGGAACATTGCACGATATGTCTTTAAACATGCCCGTCTAACCCCCCTCCCTAAACATGGCATACAGGGATCCAGGAAATGAGCGCGCGCTTAGTTCTTCAGCTTGCCTGCGAGCAGAAAGTTTTCCCTTGCTTGAACGTCCACGTCCCTTTTGTCATTTGTACGATTTTGCTTCTTATCTAATGATTCACAGATCAGATCCGGGCGGGAATGTCGCTATATAGTTCTATCAAGAGCCAGTCATCCACCATTTCATACTTCGAGCCCTTGGTCGTCAATCAGACATCCCACGAAGGTTTCTGAAGATACGAATACCCATTTACCCCGTAAATTAAAGGCAGTTGGCACGATAGTTTGGTACTCAGCCTAAAATGCTAGCAGGGCGCTATCTAGTGGGAAAATGGCGAAAAAACGAAGTGAAACGGTCGAAAACTGCGAAGAAAAGCCTTCGTTCTTGAAAGCAATTTCGGACGAGTTTCCCGTAGGCATGTTGCAAATAACCGCTACGGTAGGTACGGCTGCATGTATGTACTCATATATCCATTCAGCACTGCAGCCGCTTCATACCAATCCCTTCGCTTCATATTTTACTTAGCAAATGAAGCAAAACGAGCATCAGGTACGGTCGTCCATTTGTGGGCGGGCGGGCGTGGTGGGCGTTTGGGTCGGTAATGTTGTGGCTTGATAGGACCCTTATAAGGGCACCTTCCTGGAAAAACCGCTACGCAGCGCCTGCTCAGGGTCGCGGAAATCCGCCTGCCAGGCGTATCAATCCTACTCGTCTTAAGGGATTTATCGTGCCAACTGGCTTCAATGGCAGCTGTACCCTGAGCACCTCAATCGCTACCGTGTGCAAAGGGAACGAGTTGGCAGTTGTAAGATGTGTTACGCGTTTGTCGTAGCACGCGGAAATGATGCTGAAGAATAGTGAAAGATTGCACCGTTTGTGTCTCTACTTGCAGGCATATCGCATAGACATCTAACATGCCACAGGTACAGTCCAACTCTTCACGCGAAACACATAGGCCACTGAGACAACCTGTTTCCACGCTTTTACGTTGCGTTCTGTGGGCACACAGGGTACAACATCGTAAGGGGTGAGATGGTGGTGTCAGAACGACCCCCCCCCCCATTCCCCATCACCTACCTAACAATTCCCCACATTTCCCAGTTTTCCACACAAAAATTTTCCATCGAACGGGGAGTATATGGCACACATGAACCAGGAAAAATAGCGAAAAGTCCACAATCGAGAAAATTTTTTACCAACGCGGCAAATTCCTCTCAAACCACATACGACCCCCTCTCCCAACAACGACCAAATACGACCCCTCTCCCCAACGGATAAGTACGACAACCTATGTGTTTCACACAACTATGCTGTACCCTGTGAGCACAGTATGTTCTCTTGACCTGCATTTATGTGCCTTCCAACACTCAAGTCAGCTCAGCAACCCAGTGTTCGTGTGACATGAAGCCCGTTATCAGTAGTGCAACAAGTCGCACTACTGATACGGGCTTCATGTCACCCGAACAGCGTCCCTTTACCGTTACATTGAATCGAGTTTGTGGTGATAATCACCAACTCGTGCTCGTGTCCCATTCATACGTAACTTGCACCGTACATTGAACGGGTTTGCTTGCCGGCATACAACACAATATTTATAATAAACTTTTGTGAGTGACCAGGGCAGTGAATGGATGGTCTGCTCCTAGAGTGAGTGAAGCTGACCATCAAAAATTCGGAGGGGTTACTTGTGAGAAAATTGAAATTAATTTTTTTATTCCCTGGTCAGGAAAAGACGTCAGTCCTTAATAGAGAAATACCTGGACCACAGAATATGTGTCACCTTGCCCCAGTCTGCCTTCATTGGATTTTGAGGAGCCGCTTCAGCAAAACGAAGTCGAGCTCCACCCTGAAAAAGGCGACGTTGAATCGTATCTGCCGCTCCTTTCAGTTGTTGAGGCTGGCTTCCTGTGGTGTTTCCTCAGACACGCTTGGCGGCTTTCACTGCTTGTTTGTAGCTGAGCTGCTTCTAAAAGTACGCCTATATAATTTTAGAAAAGCCTACGCATTATCCCCTTGCATTAGCTTTAGGCATTGTCGCGGGGGGGGGGTAGGCATTTTGCACATTTGATACTTCCCATCGACGTGTCGACCCAAGACAGCCTCTTCTCGAGTTGACAGGTTTTACCATGATGGCTTGACGAGCTTGCTCCAGCTTCACAAGAGTTCACAGGTTTCACCAGAGTGAGACTTGTAAACCAGAACTAGTGAAGCAACGAAAGTGCAAAATGCCCCCTTAACTTTACAATAACTAACAATTCTTCTTGAGATGACTAGTACAAGCTACGCTATTTGCCATTTCGTAGCTTTTAAAAAGTTTTTAAGCCTCATTATCGATGGAAACTAGATCTCTGAGCTAGAGGACTCCCCCACCCCTCCCCGCAAAACCGATCGAACAGCATTGATCTCAACATGGAATACTATTACCACATCAGCGCGAGTACAGGTCTGCAAAGTTCTGCTGCTGGGAGTGCAAAACACGTCCGTCTACGAAAGCATTGGCAGAGTCTCGCAGAATCTGGTGTCAATTTGTGCATACTGTTATCTAGACTTATGTTGTAATGTTTATATTCAATGGAATACATTTCCATGCTTTGATGGACACACTCATCTGGAATCGTTGAACACATTCAGCACCACATGGATGGTATTTGAACAGAGCACAGAAGTTGTTGGCAAGAGGATCAAGCTCGGAAAGCGCTTAAAACAATCGATACGCCTAGCACGAAAGAATACTGTACCCCCAGGTGCTATGTGGCTGCCCTACCGACCAAGGGCACCCTTATAGCACCTAACCAAGGTGCAACATGCCGACCCAGACGCCCACCGCAACCGCCCGCCCACAAATGGCCGCACAGTCACATCGACGCTGGTACTCTTATCGCTTCATTTATGAAGTACAATTGATATGAAGCGTTGCTACATGGATATATGAATACATACGTGCAGCCGTATCTAACGAGGCGTTGCTGGCACGATGCCACCGGGAAACTCGTCCAGAAATGCTCGCCCAGTGCCCCCTGTGAAACAAAGGCTTTTTGCGGGATTTTAGCATTTCAACTTTGCTTGATCGTAATTTTTGCGCTATAGAACACTCCTGCTAGTATTTTCGAGCAAGTACCAGAATATCGTGCCTTGTGACTTAAAAAATTGCGGAAACCGGGATACGACATGCCGTGGTTACTTGCCTGTTCGGAGACGGTCTACCTGACTGTGCATACGGCACGTTGAAGAGATTCAAAAATTGGTACTTACAAACGCTGGTCTTCATTTCAGAAGAGCTGACGTCCGCCAAAGAGAAGCAGGGTCAAGCTGAGGAGTGCAGTGCAGATGAATTCATTATGGAGTAGCATCTGGCTATGTGAGAAACAAATTAATCTTATTTTGATGCTCAGGGGTCTATTGTTTACTGCTAGTTTTGATCGATATTTGCAAGAAAGCCAAAATAGCATACCTAAAACAATTTTTTCCAGGAAGTCTCATGTTTGATCTTCTTAAGACCATTTTTCTGAAGCGCCTGTGTCTCAAAAAAATTATTTCTGAAGGGAGAAAACTGGTTCAATCGGGAAGTAACAATAATTCCTATGACAACAAATGCTATCTCACACGGATATGAACCTGGCGGCGTTCCTTTCCGGGTGGCGGGAAGTTGTGCTGAATTACTGCATCTGCACCATTGTTGCTCTTTTCGAGCAATCGTGCAGTCGTTATCACTGAAGTTTGTCGGGATGTGTCAGCAGGGCATGGGTTGAGTGCAGCCAGCCCATTTTACATCAATCGTTGTGGGTTCAGGGGTCCAGTAGGTGATGATAAAGGAGCGCGCCGCGCGAAAACCCACGCTTTGCTGACCCGCTCCCACTGGCTTCAGTGATAACGACTGTGCGACCGTTCTGATTGCAGACCGGGCTATTCTATACAAGGAAGAGGTTCCATATAGATCTTTGTTCGCTGCGGATGATGGGGCGTGTCCCTGCACTAGGTTTGGGCGCGTCAGCTGTACCTCTTACACAGTGGAAAACGGTTGACAATTGCGAAATGATACAGTCTCGTCGCTTGCCGAAATAGGAACGGAAACATCCATACTTATCCGTCCTTGGGTAACCCCGTCATTCGCAACAACAAGACTGTGGCAGTATTTGGGGAATGTGTCTTCAAGCAGCTGCAGCTGACTGGATGAGGAACGTTTAGCTAGGTAAACACTCTCCCTCTCATACATTTTTTTGCATCGGACCACATCCCAACAAATCTTGGACTTGCTACGCTATCGACTAGGAGGAGCCGACGTATATAACACACCAGTACTGGGCAATAATTCAATAATAAAAATCCCCAG